GGGGAGGGGGCAGCACCCCAGGCTGGCAGGAGGGTCCTGCAGCTGAAGACCCAACTGGCCACCCTGACCAGTGCCCTGTCCACTGTCACGCAGGAGAAGTCCCGCATGGAGGCCTCCTACCAGGCAGACAGGAGGAAGATGAGGCAGGAGCTGGAGGAGGGGGGGAGGAAGGCGGAGGAGGAGGCGGGGAGGCTGGGAGAGGAGCTGAGCTCCCTGCAGGAGCAGCTGGCAGAGACCAAGGCCAGGCTCATCACCCAGCAGCACGACAGGGCCCAGGAGCAGGGGGACCATGCCCTGATGCTGAGGGAGCTGCAGAAGCTGCTGCAGAGCGAGAGGAACTCGAGGCAGGAGGCAGAGCTGAAGCTGGAGGAGACCAGGGAGGTGCTGGCCGGGAGGGCCACCGCGGCCGAGCGAGCCCAGGGCTACGAGCTGCAGGTCAGGCAGCTGAGCCAGGAGGTGGAAGAGCTGAAGAAGGAGCTGCAGGCTGTGCAGGAGGAGAACAGGCCAGACCCCCGGGTGCAGGACCTGCAGGAGGAGATGGCCAGCCTGAGGAACCACTTCCAAGTGCAGCTGCTGCAGGAGATGAGGAAGGTGATTCCCTGCCCGGGTCCTGGAGTAGCTGGTGCTGTGGGGTCTGTTGGTGGGGCCTGGGGCAGGTTTGGAGGGCAGAGGGGCACAGATTCCCAGTCCCACAAAGTCCAAGGGGTTTAAAATAAATCAGAGCATGAAGGGAGGGATGGGATCCTAGTCCTGCTGGTTGGGATACGGGGTACAAGCCACATCAGTCAGGGGGTGGTGAACACCAGGTTTGGGAGCAACCTCTGAGCTGATCACACAGTGGGTGTCCCCCCCACAGTGACACTGGGTTCTGAACAGGTTCATGGCTTAAAACTGGGAGAGGGGAGATTGAGGCTGGACATGAGGGGGAAATTCTGGGCTGTGAGGGTAGCAGGAGGAACTGTGGGAGGGTTTGGAGGAATCGTGGGAGGGTTTTGGGGAGTCATGGGGGGGTTTGGGGGAATCTTGGGGGGGTTTGG